TAACTTTCCAAATCTCCCAACACTACACGGACATTCATTTTTTTTGTTGATGAAATGTGTAGAAGTTTTTCGTTCTCAATTACATCAGCCCAAATCTTACTAGCAATCTTTCAACTACTTCTATTTTGATTTGATCCTTATTTAACCTGGCCATCTCTATGTAGCCTTTTCTTTACTCATCGCTTTCTCGTCAAGTACTACTTAAACGAATACTTTTCAATTCCGGTAACACCGTTTTTGTCCGTTACCTGGTGTATAATATTTACCGAGGCTATCAGGTTCGGCGATAACAATCTACAATTTCATGTGGCTATTGGCTTACATCACAACTCCATTGTTCAACTCCGAATCTGTCTCGTTTTCCGATGGAAGCATTTCCTCTGAGAGTTCCTTCCCAGGTCATCTATTTTCATGCCACTGCTTGCAGCGCCTACGCGTTCCCACACGGGTCCTCTCGAAATCCTGAATAATTTCAGACGCGTACGCAGCGGCAATTGCAACAGTCACCGTTAAAGACTACGGCGGCATTGCTCGAAAAGACAGCAGCCGCTATACAAATACGGCTGATCCAAACATATCGCTTTGAGCATCGCCAGACCAGCGTATAGTTCTGATCTTCACCCTGTTCATGTCCGCTGGTAGGGTGTTCATCGCGAAGACACGCGAAAATTGATGATGGGGGCCATGGTAGCGCTCAAGATGGGATGCGCGTTAGGGATTGGCGTGGTTTTCGCTCCCCATCGCGGCGGAACGTTATCATTTGATAAATTACCCAACAGACGCTTTAACGGTAGTATCTGCCTAAGCAGAGAAGCACACTATAGACCAGCAGCAGAAAGAAGCGAAGCACTCCAGCCAGCTTGTGAAACAATGACGACAGCCTTCAGAGACAATTGTTGTTCACAGAGAATCAACAATAACAATAACAACAAATAAACCAGACGAAGGCGCAGACCTGTCCTTCTGCGATACATTCCATGTCGTGGGTAACCTTAGCGCCGAAGGAGTAACGAGCACGTGTCGCGTAACGATGGCGGGGCCGGTGATTGTTTGTTCGAAGCTGAATAGGACAGCAGACGATAGAGGAAAAGAGCGGGGCGGAACATGGAGGGAGAACTGCGACATTTACGAGATCCGCGTTGCTTAAAGACGCTATATGCAATACGACGCAATGTGCGAGGCAAAACGCTGTCAAGAAGTGATTTCTTCGCGACACTCTTATAGTTTGCGCAGCGGTAGACGGGGTGGCACGGCATGGTCATAGAGCAGTTCGCCCACCTAGATTTGCCGCTCAACCACGCTAAAATTACGTTTTATTGTATTTAATTTTATCGTTAACGTTGTGACGTAACCTACTGTCGGACCATGACGCGCCTGCGCTCGCATGCTAGGGGTTTGGCGCTTTGGTGGTGACGATTTTGGGCACACGCTCATTTCATCTCCTAGTGGAAAACGGGGAAAATGGACAAGGGGACCGCTTGGACAAGTGGATCGACGTGAGTAACGCGATATATTCGATTACACGTTATTAGTGGACCGCGGCTAGCATTTGTGGGTGCCATGGTAACAAACAGATATGACTGTCATTCTTTGCCGTAGACAGGGTGAAGCTGAAATCAGATTTGTACGAAGATAATCTTACACTAACTAGATTATTCGATTGATGTATTATTATGGGTATTTGTGCCGACCCTTCCACAAGTGGGCGTCGTCGAAGATATGTAGGCGCGGTACATTGAACAATATCAGAATGGGGGAAACACCTCAAATCTTGATGGTGGTACCAGATTTGTTACAAAACCAACCGATTTGATTTCTGGGTTAATTGCGCTTACTTTACGTATGATGTATTTATCGAAAACTCTTTTATTGTTAGGCCCCGACCTAACCAGCGGACTATAATGATATGAACAATATAGTGTACATCGCTTGGGGCCATTCTATAATAAGGACCTGCTAATATCATTAGCCTGATTGATATTATCTATCGTTCAATGAGAATTTCAAGTCGTCAGTAAATTCATTAACTGTAATTATTATAATAGACACATAGTCAACCGTTATTGGTCTACGCAAACAACGGCAGAGCTGACCGTTATACTTTGACCGTTTGTAAACGTGCCAGGCACTTAATATTCATTATAAGCGATGGGCTAAATAAACGTGGCATAAGAATTATTTAGGTGCTCTATCAAAATACGGTAGAGTCAACCCTGCTTTCGTAATAGCCACATGAAACATCTAACGAATGGATGACAAATTACTGAAAGGTAATACCGGAGGATAAGGTGAAAAATATCTGCTAAGGACTCAATTGCACCTTAATACTACAGGTGACGATACTACAGCACAAAAGTTCTGCGCAAGCAGAATTCAATTTCTGCTATTCCTTGTTCATTTCAGGGCGCACTTTGTGTCCAACATCTATTTGATCATCTCAATCGAAGGCTGCTACAGGCTGACTGATAACGCGTAGGTACCCTTTTCTCTCAGCGCTAGCACAGTATGTATTGTTACGTCGTCAGTGGCTGCACCCGGTCTGCATAGTGATGCTGCCAGGGAGCAGAACGATTTCATCTGGGCTGATTATCTTTTTAATGCGCTATCCGGTTTCGCACTATCGGTGTTCAGCATTCAGGATTCATTTCCCAGTGATTCACTGCATCAGGCCCATACTGCTGCCGTCGCCGCAGTACTCCCACCGTCCGTAGCTTGTAGCCCGTCGCGGCGACCGCGGTTCAATGGACGGTCCTCGTTGCTTAGCGCACTGGCCGCAGACTAACCTGGTTGCTCGCTAGCCTTTTTCGTGTGCCGTGCCGCTTTAGAAGCGCGTTCATTAATAGTTGTAATGATCCCCCGGCCCCGCGTCGGTCGGCTCTCGCATATCTTGTCTCGTCTGAGGACACATTCTGCCCCAACGCGGCCCCGTTAAACCCCGTCGTAGTGCCAAGGGCTTCGCCCTAGCGGACGCACCGGTCAAAAACCAGTACATTGTTGAACAGTTAGAGAAACCCAACCCGGTGTGGCTGGATTGGTCCTTTTGACCTGCCAGAACCTTGATTTGAAACAGTGCAACACCTTAAGAGCTACCGATGCGACTGGTGCGAGCATACGAGCATAAAGACACAACGACTACATTACTAATGCATTACTTATTCCGGCGACGACTGCGAGAATCAGATGCGTATTAATAGAGAAGGTATTTTTGCCTCTGAATTGCATACGAACGCTTACGTATCGTAGATATTCCATGTGTGAAGCGTTCAATGAAAAAACGACAGGCGCCGGATAGATTTGCGTCACGTTCTCAAAACTCACCAATGTAATCCTCGCGACGAAGAAGCAAAAATCTCACGTAGAGCTTCAGTTAGTATTTGTTAATGATGAATGAAGAACTAACTTTTCCGTAGCAGAAACTGGCACGTACGTAACGTTATCTTCTAATAGTATGCTGCACTCAAGTAGCAAGATTCCTTAGAAGCTGCTGGATTACCGTCTACTGTTTTTGTATCTTTCCGTTTTCCTCTCCGTGATAGTATGGCTTACGCCTGGTCGTCGTCACACGTTTTGGGCTTATCGTTTTCGTAGTCACCGATTCACTACAACACAATGTTCACACTCGTAATCGATGTATAGCTACAGAGACGACAAAACTGGGGCTATCCTTAAAGATCAACTAAAGTCGTTCACAATCGCACGGCGTCGTGGCGACGATAGGCAATCACTAGCGTTGAACTGGACTGAACAGACTTCAGGTTCCCGTTCCCGTCACCCGCTCACCGACCGATCCACTGTGCGTCGTCGCACCCGCGAGCGTCGGCCGCAGAAGGCCCAGCGGCTGCACCATCAAAGGGAAAGGGCGAAAGGAGATCCCGACCGACAACGAGACGTCGTCGTCGTCGTTGCAGTAGCAGTCGGCACGATACCAGCCCTGGCCCCGGTGCCAGTACCGGCAAAGGTTGCAGGACCAGCTGTAAAGAAGCACCAGCGCTGCAAAGATGCTCTATCTATATCTATCTATACTGTAACGTCGGACGGGTCGGCGGCGTGAATGCCGCCGTTTGAAGAAGGGCAAAAGCAAAGCAGGACGGCTTCATTTCTTCGGCAGCAGAGAGAATATTGGTACCACTAACGTTCAGATACAGGTAATAGTACTACCGCAGAAGTCGTCGTCGTCGTCGTCGTTGTTGTTGTTGCTGCTGGTGCGTCCGCCAGCCAAGCGTCTGGTGAACTCCTCTACGCGCTATCGGGTCCATGAAGCAAGCTACCGCTTGAAGCACGAACTTCCCGCGCTGCGCAGCTACAGACCACCTAGATTATAGCAGAAAGGTAACAGCGAGAAGTTGTGCTTCGACAAAATTGCATCTGCGCGGCAGTTTTTTGCTGTCTATCGCTGACGTCGTCTTCGGCGTCGCCAGCCGTCAACAATACTTCACGCCGGTAGTTTTCGTCGACAACAAAAACAAAATTAATGTGAATAGTTTCAGAACTTTGACAAAGGCAGGTAGAGATAATCACTGGGCTATTTGAGTGGAGTAGAGCGGTGACGTGGCACAGGTCGATCTAGCAAGGAACAGAAGTCAAGCTAGATACAGCAATGAACGACAACAGCAGACGCTGATGAAATCAACATTGAAAACTTCACGTTGGCGTCCACGCGATGCAAGGCGGCTCAGTTCTTGCAAACGTAGAGGCTATCCCGTGACGTTGTGCAGCGTCAAGCATTGACCGTCACAAGCACTAACACTGTCGATGGTTGTATCGGACCTGCTATTCCAGACGCGGGCAGGGCGAAACGGGATTGGGCCATAATCCGACAAGGCAGCACAGACTTACGACAATGAGCTCGCGGTGTGGTTCATCTGATTGTGGTAGCGATCAGCTTTAAGAGCCAGGGGCCTCACCGTACAGAAGATCCGAGAACTAGCATTCAGAATTGTATAAGGCGCATGTAGGTAGTGCGCGACAAGGCTGGATAACAAACATCTGTAGGCCGCAACGACACACCATAATTAACGCCGACGAAGGGCACGACAAGAAAATGCAGAATTTCAGGACCATAAATAGAGTCATTAGCAAATCTAAAATGGCATGTGACGTTTTCGGCACGACCTGACGCTTATTACTGAAGTATATTGACCGCTGTTGTATTAACGAAGCAATAATATGTCTGCGTATCCAAAATCCGCAGCTAATACTGCATTCTGTTGAATGTACTGGTTGGAGAAAACGAGCTCAGAATCCTTTACCGCTAGATGGGGCAAAGCCCTAACGGGGCATCCTGTCGAATATTACACTAGGCGTAGATCTGAATAAATGAACATTTTCGTTTGACTACGTAAACACTGCTACAGAGTATTTAATGTCGCTTCGCTAACGATACAATGTTGGCTTAAAACGCCAGCGAAATGCACGAATGGAGCCAAACACAATCATATTTCAGAGGCTTGGCTACTACGTGCAGAAAGAAAGCAGTCACACTAACAACGAGTGATCGTCACCAATTTTCTGACCACTTTTATCAAGCGAACTATACGTAAAAATTGGCCACTTTGGCCATAAACGTGACAATGGAGTAATAATAATAATAATAATGGTAGTTTATTCCTTCATTTCAAATAGCAGATATGTTGAAAAATCCTCGTATAGTATTTGGCCTTAGGTGCGTTTAGCAGGCCCATTTTTAAGCCGACTAAAACAACTTGTAGAATATTTTTGTCGTTGTTTCTTTTATTCTATAGTAAACCTATAGCATAGAATCGGTTACCTTCTTCAATGAATGTCGACATGTTAGCCAGGGACAATTTAATGGAGCTTTTTATAAAATATTGCTGATCGATCGGTGCTTGGAATCGGTTAATTTGACAGCTTAAAATTCACTACTCAAGTTTGATATGTTCCGTTTGACAAGTTCACCCACTTCCAGATCCGGAAGAAATCCGACAGATTGACAAATGAGTAGAAGATAGTGCAGGTTATTTGGGCTAATCCATTCCATTGTACCAAAAAACCGAAGTTGACAACTTATTCACACGATAGAGACAGCTGAAGTCGTTGATAGAAATTGAGCAATGACCCAAATACGATCTTTATAATATATCGATACGATACATAGTCGCCACATAGCAACAGCTCATATCCGCTGCCCATTTAGTCTCAGATGGGGCATGGCTCATGTGACCAACAATCATACACCGGGAACGTTTCATACGTTACTGCTAATTAAAGTACACAGTTATTGGCAGTGGTTCAATGTTCCATCCTGGTATTCTGCCAACACTTCATGCTTCATGATCAAGCGGACTTTTACCACATCCCAACCAAATTATCAAACGGTAGATGTTACCTTTCTATGTTTCCTAAGGAAAAAAATTCGACTTACGAAGGGGCTGGCTGTCAACGCACCATGGCCGAAGGATGGAAAAAGCGGAGAATTATTTAGTCTGTTCAGATAGTTCTGTGCTAAATGAGGTCCACAGTCGACAACATTTCGAATCAGATTAACTTATTAATGAATGATCTGCACACAACTTGGTCAGACATTAAGCGATTGGCGCGATACTGAAGACGTTGACAGGAAACAATGTAAAACAGAGTCATACATGTTAATTTCTAATAAAGAAATCCAAACCTAAGGATACTGTATATCATTTATCGGGACCATGGATCGAGTGTTCCTTTACTTACACTTATAGCTGTTACGAATTCAATAGGAGCATAAAACTGGCGGAGTAACCTTTTATTGAGATCTAACGTACGTAATTTTTTAATTCAATAAAGAGACGTTTAGCAATCAAGTAAACAACAATGCTGATCATTCTCTCTATTAGAAAGCAGTTGATTTTGCTTAACTAAGCGTTGGGTCGACACTCAGTAGTTTGCACAGGTGAGCGTATGCTTACGAGAGCTAAATCTTCGTGATAGCAGTACTAGTTGAAGTTTTATATTTTGACCGTGAACCTATTGCTCTCGCCAAAGCCACCCAATTTCACGAGCAACGGCTTGTCCCAACAGTGCAATGTATCCGTGTGAATGTATATGTGCATAACGTGCCAACCGTCTCCAACAGAAAAGGTCGACGATGATATGCCCTCGGCATTTTCATCGTTCACAAGGTTAACCCGTTTGAGTTTCTCGCATATGTGAGCCCGGGGCGCTATGGCACTTCCAGGCATCTCTACACTCCACAGCGTTTACATGTGGCCATAAATTCCTTCCCCTCGGCCCAAGCAACATCCAACCGGTGAGGCCAGGACGTGCGTGCTGTGCATGGCCTGTGAGTGTATAAGCCGTAGCCGAATCATACTGGAGCCAGAACTCGCAGCGTCACCTCGGCGCATCAAGGCCGCTTATCAGGTTTTACCCTACCGAGCGGCTTTGTAGAGAGGGCAGATAGCAGGAACCGTCGCTGTTTCACTAGCTCTGCTACAGGCCCGGAATCGGCGTGTCACTCTAGACACCTTAACTTTGAAGCACGTCCCGCTGATTCACTTGTCCGATTGATGTCTGCGTGACAGTTTAACCTTGTGCACAGCGTTTTCAATGCAACGTCCACATTGTAACACTGTAGTCTCTGCAACGTTCATGCCTACGGTTCAGGTAAGTCGACTGTTTCGTCCTATCCTGCGATACCAAGTTTAGTGATACTTACACGCATATATGATTTACTCGTTGCAGCACGTCTAGGCCACACTGTCCCGGTCCTGCTACTCCAGCTAGAAGTGGCCTATCTGCAAAGGCCCCGGAACAATGCAATATGCATAGTTCAGACTGGTTTTGTGTTCCTCCTATGTTGGCAGCTTAAATTTTCATGAAATATAAGATATCTATATGTATGTACGTTGTCTGCGTGTGACACAGAGGTCTATTACAGCGGTTGTCGTCGTATAACAAACACCCACAGGCCGTGAGATAGAGGCACAGATTTAAAGTAAAGATCCACTTACCCGTGTTTTACACCACAGTCTACCACGATCCCTATACAGAGATACACGAATAATGAAACGATGTCGCCGCCCTAGTTCAGAACGACATCCACGCTTTCTTTCTTTTTACAACGTGGAACATTCAAACACAACCAACAGGGCAAACGGACAGACTGGCGATAATGGCCTACGATTCTGTTTGACCGTATTACGTCACTTAAGTTGACTAGACGGGCCGACCTGGCTAGGTTACACATAGGGGCTCGAGGGTACTCGAGGGTGTCCCTGCTGCTAATTGACTTCGTCGGTTGTCGTCGAACGCTGGGAAAGCTGGTCAACCGTCGGGCGGACGCAACGAGGGCGAGTTCTGTCAAGAACGCCGGCAGACGCGTACAGACATCGAGGGAATGAACAGGGAAACTGCTGTCTTCATCCTTCGGACTTGCGGACGCTAACCGGCTGTATTGCAGCAGCTGAAAGCGAAACCATAGAGGAAAAAGTCGGCAGGAAAAATACGTGGCGTTAGATAATTATAAATGACTCCGCGTCAATAGTTTTAGAGACAAGCAAGAGGAAATGTCGGAAATGATAGAAAGATGAAGTCTAATCGTAGAAAAATAGGTGGAATAGCGATTTCTATTCCACCAGCCAAGTAAAAAGCTAAACGCGGACATTCGTATGTAGATACTAACGAATGCTGCCGGTATCATCTAGGGCGGCGGGCTGGAGAAGGGTCAAGTGGGAAGGATTAAAACAAGTTCTTCTAACTAGAAGCCAAAACGTTTTCTTCTGTGTCCTTATAAACACACGTAGATAAGTACGTTTACTCGTAGCGTGGCGTCGCTACAAAAAGAGTAACAGTAAATTATTATCACTAGATATAAGATATCAATATTATATATTCTGTATGCATATTTTAATAAGATTTATGATGGCGATGTCTCAGATCGGCAAAACGTTTTCGCTGATATTTAGAATTAAATAACTCTAAATAATAATTGGTTTTTGAAGAGCATTGTTAATTGTGAAAAGCCTGGAACGAACTAAGCCTGACTGATTGATTATTATGATAGAGATAATGGACGGCTCAGTGCGTTAAGACATCTAATCCCTTTGTTTTTTTTTGGCAGAACAGTCCGGGGATTGCCCTAAAAACTGGTTCATAGAAAATATTACCATGATGATTCTACGGTATCAAAGCTAGGAGAGTTCATGTGGTTGGTCACAGGTCAATAACGTCCTCTAGTATCCGACAGGAGTTCATGCCAGTAGTAAATCCCGTCTTCCACAAAAGAAATGAAACCGTTTTTGTGCAGAGCCTTGTCTCTGCGAAAGGGGACTATTTCGGATTTGGTAAGGACATTTGCTTTGAAAATGAGATTATATCCCTTGTAACAAGTCGACACGAGCTCGAAATCGAGCTGACATCTTTTCCCTTATCATTTTATAGCAATACTAATATAATTATAACATTCGGATCAAATAATACACCGATATTGACGAACGAGTTTTATGTGCTTAGAATTTTATATCCAACGCCGCTATTAAACTGCTGGCATCAGCTGCCTGCCAGGACGAGGCGAAGCCTGTTTACAGCCAAATCCAAATCTAGACCATCACGTGTTCTCACGATTGGTCCATTGTGCCCTGAAGTTAAAAGTGCAGCAATTATTATTTCCGCATTAATTCAATGTCCTATTTTTGTCACTCAACTTACCCATACTCGCTTATCTCTGCCCTGTCCTATTTACTGCTCAATTTGGTTTTTATCGAATGATAGGGTTACTCCCATCAATCGGGCAAAGCTCAGGACTACCGCTCACTTCTTTAATTTCAGAGAGTATTCCAACAAGAGAGAATGCACTTAGTAGCCTATTGAATGTATACGTTAATAGATAAATTGAACTCTGAATAGTATTTCGCTCCATGTTAGACCTAAAATTATTTACTTTTTTTTATATACTTTACGTAGAATGTTCAGTTATCCCACCCGTACCGTAGTAGCTTCAACCAAAACAGGTGAAGCAGACAAAAGCTTGAAAACAAAGCATATCAATCAGAGTTGTTTAGATCACTTACCTTTCTTCAATACATTAGCACAGCCCCGTTTAGAGTGCGTCCTCCTGTTTCTCACAAACTAATCTTCACACTAAGCATGCAACGCCACTGGTACAACGACGTCAACAAATTGGCAGACCCACTAGGTTAAAGCTGCGATTAAACAATCGCTTGGCCGTCTTCACGTACCTTTTTAGTCCGTGTTGTTGAACAGGGATTGCCTGCCATAGACCAAGTGTAATCCACCGACATCACCACAGCGTTGTACGCGAATGTAATCTCTCTCTCTCTCTCTCTCTCTCTCTCTCTCTCTCTCTCTCTCTCTCTCTCTCGCCCCACACACACACACACACACACACACACACACCTACACACACACACACACACACACACACACACACACAGAAACACGCACTGTGTGTATGTGTGTGTAACAACCGAAACAAACCGGACATGTACCCCATCGTTGTATGACGGAACGGGAGCGGCGAGTCTTGCCAACCGCCAGTTGCGTAATTATGACTGCATCGAGAAAAGGACTAGATCGTACATAGCGAATAGGAAGTACGGGATAGATGACTACTGGGGAACAGTTAGCCCTAGGGAATTATTTTCTTCTTGCTTGGCAAACTGAGACAAATGATGATAGTAATAAACTGTGATCGTTCTTGAAGGCGGATACCTATCTCGTGACGGTGGTAGCAACTCAGCTGGATGGTACGGTAGGGTCATTACACGGTGTTAAGTCAACGCTCACCAAAAGCCTCATTATTGCTTTTTTTTTCACCAAAAAAGCCATTGAAGATGAGGGATGAGACGCGTCTCAAGAAGAAACCACTACTGCTTAAGACTGTTCTCAGTTTGAAATACCGCCCGACTACCTACGTACAGGTGTTAGACAGGTTATTTTTTTTGTTATTGGAGCATAATGAGTTTGCCCAGATCACATAGCCGAATTGCCAACCTTCGGCTACCGTGTAAAAGAGTCGCCCAGCTGACTTAATCAACTTGGCAGGTCTCACAATAAAAACATCGTGGTACCTTATTATAGAAACAAAAGTTATAACTGCCAAATGCTGACACATGTAACGATTTATATGTAATTAGTTTACCGTGATGCTAAATCATTGAATGTCCCATTGATCTAACCTGATGACCAGAGATTCTGTCGCAAAGTTTCCTGCTAAAAGCTAGTCACAGCAATTTCGTGTTACCTCAATGACGATCCATTTACTGACACTTCAGCAATCTTAGCCAGAGTTTTATGTGCCCATTAGAGTTCATCGACCCATTGGTGGAATAGGGATTAGGGTTAGTTCAATTATGTATTGTTTTGCTTTGTATCGTCCGGTGAAAGTGCGGTAGAAACATGCTAGTTTTTAGCGTAATATACGTATAAATTATAGTAACGTTTCTATATATTTTGCTATTGGCACAGTATCGGTATCTGAGCCCGCGCGCAAACCATCGTTCTGGCTATATTTGATATTTTCATCTTACGAAGTCTGAATCACTAAATGCCGATTTCTCCGATAGGTCGATCAAATAAATTCTATCCTATTCCAGAAGTAGTAATGAATTTATGATGCAGCCCTTCTCCTTAGACGCGAACCCTGCTATATTGAATACGAGATGCGCTGTAGCGGTGTTTGGCGAATATATCACTTTCTTACTCTTTAGGAAACGTACACCCCTTCCTTATGAGATGCTCCACATCGTTGCTATTACGTTCCGTGGGGTACTTGGCTGAAGCCTCGGAGTCGCCACGTGTTATATGATGTATCGTGATGTCCATTTATCCATTTGATGGGGCAAAACTACCTACGAATTGTCGAGAAATAACAGGAAAAGCTGAACTGTTCCGTAGCTGCTTTCGACAAATCGTTTTGATGCCAAATTAAATCAAAATTCGAGAAAGTATCGAAAACGTGCTAGCGGTAGTTCCCCAATTGGGGTAGTGAGCGATACGTCATGCGTGTTCTGGTGAACGCTTCGTATTTTCGCGTAGCTAGCGGATGCCGGCACAGGTAAGCGGTGAACAGCAGGCGCAATATCCCGCAAGGAGAATCAATGATGCCTGCCGCTTGACACCTAAGGACAAAGACAATTAGGAGACAAAGGCTCTATAAAAGAAAACGTATTGTTAAATGGATATCGGGCCCTTACGACTGTCGGCGGGTCTATCAAATGCTTTACCGTTAAATGCAATTGCTATAGAAGGGCAGGACGTTTTGGCATCTACGTGAATTACCTGTTTAGCTTATAAAGGGGTCGCTAAACAAAATCCCCTCTCTAAGAAAATGGGGACGTGCCTAGTGTGTAGCGTACAGCAATGATCACTTGAGTTTTGTTGTATAGGATCATTTTTGGCTACTCGAGAGCTGTAACTGGTGTCTACCCGTAAATAGCAGATCTTTACGTACTCGTAATATAGAAAATATTGCGCTGACACAACTTCAATTTCCTTTTTGAAACCTCTCTCCTCCCCTGGATCTGTACTTCGAAGGAAACTTAGTCAATGTCTTGCTATTCTACAGTCTTACGGCTTTACTTTCAAGAATAGGATAGATATTTCTTATAGTTTTATAATTGAGATTCCATAGGAAATGAATGCTGAAACGGACAATTTACTTTCCCACTAACAAAATGTAGCTTCAACGCTTATGTAACGTCGAACTTGGGTCTAACAAGCGAAATCATTATTGAACCGTCGCGAATAATACGATTAACTGTGTCTGATAAATCGTCTCCGTACTATATGACCACAGAGATGGTGCATTCCGACGCATTCAGCAATTTTTAGACCTATTCAAGCCAGCGTTTAGGTTGACGTACACTTTTTTGCTTCTCACCGGAGTCATGGCACAGCGTCATTGCTTACAGTCATTGCCCCGTTCGCCTCGTAGTCCCTACATCGGCTAAGCCTCTTCTCAGATCTGATAATTCTTTTTCTCTCTCACACACTCTTGCTCTTTTTCTCTCTCTCATATAGCAGATATGTCAGATTCTTGCTCACTCGTTCAGCCAGTCGCCAGCACGAAGCTAACCCGTGATGTAGGGGGCAGTTGTTGGCGGGGGTACAACCCTCGTAGCCAAAGTTGTTAGCTAATGCCGCCGCGAACACTTTGACTTGTACGTAGCGAGCGAACAACGACAGACAGATACGTCCGTAGATACAGCCGCGCCTGGCCCTGGCAATCGACTTATTTCTTTGATAGCACATACGATCTATTGTATGGTTACGCCAGTGTTCTGATCGTTACGGGCATCATCACTTTACCCCATCCAACGTTTAGACAGAACTGACGCACAACGCGCCACCACAGGCGTTATGTAGTAGCAAGCAAGGATTCTGACTGGACTGTCCCATCTAGTAAATGATCACACTCCGGTATACCTCTGCGTACCGAGCATCCATGGGGATTCAAGTGAGAATAAGGGTTGTATCAATCTATATGAGATAAGTACTTGCTGGAAAATATGTTTCGCCGTTCTCAGCGCGTCATGTACCCACGCGCATCATCCGAGCCGCAGACAGGCACTGCAATGTTTGTTCCACTTCGCCGCAATCGTCGAAGAACTCCTTTTTTTTTTTTTTTTACTCATCTTATCCCAGGTTTCATACACATACTGTCACCAACTATACATAGTTAACAAACAGCGATCTTTCCTCTAGACACACGACACTATGAACAATGTTTCATAGGCTGAGAACGTATCTCATGATGTTTATCTAGTTGTGCAATTACCGGAAGTAGCTTCGCATATGCGCAATTCAAAGTCGCCTAGTAAGCGCTCAGTAATGAACGTTTATTAGCTTTTAATAAAAACCGTATATTCCTGAGCGAATGTTTCTGCACTCACTTGTTTTTGTGGCTTTGGTGTGGTATCCTTTAACCTGTTTTGATATTTCTACTGCTTCACGCCCCCATCTGCCTTATTCTTAATGTTTGGAACTTTCACAGAAGCGAGTCAAGACCTCCACAAACCACAAAAGAGCACTTCTGAGGCCTAGGTAAAACGACAGAGAAATGAGTCAGGAAAATCGGCTTCGCAGCAGCTATATAGCAGAAATAAAGAAGTGTGTTTGTATCTAAGCTGCTGATCTTTTCACAACTAACACACATTATGGTAGCCTTTAGGCTGGGGGTGAGCGGTGAATCGTAGAAGGGTGGTGACTTGCTAAACAGAAACAGGAACAAGTATTTATCATTACGTTGAAGCAAAAAGGATTTGCTTTTACAAGAATAAAAAGATTCAAAATAGCCGGTTCGTACGTCTTCCGCTTGATGGCACCACTTGTCTCTACCTCTGCGGCCTATTGAAGCCGCCGCTTCTTGTCTGCCTGTCAGATTAGCGTTAGTCCATAGAATCGTCGTTCGACTAAATTCGATCAGGTTGCTTCAGATCCAGACCCACAATCGTTATCGTTTCGCATCTTGTAAAACTAATGGGGCAACTATGTATCCGAAATTCATATATGCCCATACACAGCTCCGTATTTCATGTTATGAAAGTCCAAAGGAGTGAAAAATCGTTGCTAGCCTTCTCTAATACGTGTGACGCTGGCCGTAGTAAACACGAATCGCCAGCACCATCGTACTTTCTTTCACTCTCTTCAACCCTTTCAGAGTTGATAAACTGTAACAGTGTTCCTATAGGACCGAATCGGGACCCGAGTTACTTTCAGCGAAGTACCTCAGCTTGAAATTGATAACCCGTAACTGTATATGCCCGTATATGACGGCTGATTTTATATCAGAAGCAGACGCAACCGGTTAATTAAACAGGTCAGACTCACATGAGCACCGAATACTCCAAAATTTCACATTAAAGAACCATTGAATTGGCAGATGAATTCGTACCAACAAGTGAATAGAAGGAAATGTTAACTCAGTTTAGCTAAACCCGACTTGGTTCGATGTGCCAGATAGAGAGGTCTTGTTGGCCGATGCAACAATACGACAATGAAGGAACACTTAAGGCAGCAGGACAAAGGAAAAAAGAACGATAGACCAAACAAGCGTGTTAAGCTTGTCTGGGTTTTCTGTTCAAATCAATCGAAGTTGGGCTGCTCTGAGCGAAATTGGATTAGGGTACCGTATTTGGTGTTTTTGATCAGTGTTCTATTGTACAACGGAATTGATTATCCTTTGTCCAAGATTTTATAAAAA